GGCTTATTTTCAGGTTAGGTTTTATTATTGGGGAAACAGGGTAGTCTCTTCTTGTGTTTTTCTTACCTTTTGTCAATGCCAGTTCTGTTTTATGTTTCTTTTTGATAGTCCAACCACCAGAACTTGTTAACCTTTTTGTTGGCTGTACCTCATCGAACTCCCTTGTCTCTTGGGTTATCTCCAGCATCAACATTACCCATGCCATATACCTGTACTTCTGCACAGCTCCACCCTTGTTGCTCTTGAAGACTCATCTCAGTGGACTCCAAGTTCAAGACATTTTGAACATCAGCATGAGCCATGTTGTTCTAAGCTCTAAAACAGTGTTTCCCACCTTGAGTCCCAGATGTTCTTAGATTACAATTCCCAGAAATCCTGGCCAGGACAGCTAGTGGTGAAGGCTTCTCAGAGGTTTATTCCAAGAACACCTGAGGACTCTAGGTTGTGAACCACTGCTCTAGAGCTTTGCCAACAAATGGCTAGATATCTTGCAGCACAGCACATGAACAACACAATCTGTGCTTCCCCAGCTAGAAGGGAGGTTCTTCAATGGGGTAACAGCAATATGTGATCCTTCATTAATGCAGTTGCTAAATTTTCTTTTAGATTAAATAGAGAACAGCCTTTGGAGTGAAGGAAAGAAAATAGGATTGTGGCTTGAAACATGCAGGGGGAGAGGGCCAGAGTGAAAAACCATTTGCAGCTGCAGTGAGCAGCAACACTTCATAAATGCTGCTGTCACAACTGAAATTCCTGGTTTGATAACATTCAAGGAGCAGTGAACTGCATACTGCTACTGCTACTCCACGGCAGAACTGTCATCTCATTGGCTCTTCACTTATCTCTTGCAGGTCTTCTGACTCATTCTGTTTACCAGTGAGCCAGTGAAATTACTATGATAACATGCTTTTTGGTCTTTGTCCTATCAGTTTCAGTCTTGGAACTTTCCAAATCTATTCACCCATTCTTCATCAGCTTTCCCCACATGTGCTCCTTTATTTTATATTGACGCATTTAATGTTTTCCACTTTTCTTTTTTTTTAAACAGAATCTCCCCTCAACCTCTTATGGAGTGATTTGTTCCTAGTATTTACTGCTTATATCTTCTTCTTGTCTTTCATTTCGGTTAGTACTTTTACCAGTTCACAATAGTCTCTTCAAACTATTTTACTAGTTCCTGTACCTGTATAATTGACAAATTTCTCTTTAAAATTCATATTTTCACATCCCTTATATCCTTTTCCTGTCCCTTTAATCCATTTCCTACTTTAGATTGTGATCATCTGTCCTCTTGTATCCATAAATTTCAATTTTTTATTACTTTAAATTCTGTATATGGAAATATATATCATGAATTATACGGAGTTGCATATGCCTTGATTCCTTAGAAAATTTATAAAAAAATAATTGCTATAAAACTGAGCTGGAGGTGATATCAAATACTGTACCATATGTTCAAATCATTCTCAAATCAATTAGTCAGAAAATACAGGCTGCAGAATTTGTGAAGGACTACCTTCACAAAGTACACGACTGGACAAAAATTGTCAAGGGGAACCTTTTACCTTTACCTTACCTTTTTCATTCCATAGCTAAAGATAATCCCTTGCCCTGCCCGACTGACAGAAACATCTGCCATAAGGATCCTGGGTACCAAGAGTGCAGAACAATTTTATGCAGTGGTGTACAGTTTGTTGTGCCAGTTTCATGTCTGTCAGGCACTAATTTCCTCCTCTTAAAATGTGTGCCAGGAATTCAGGCCCAACAGTCTTAGAACACAGGCAAGCTGGGCCTCAGGTTCCTAGCGCGAAGGTGTAGGAGGACAACTGAGAAGACTCCCTGTATGCCAAGCTTCCTAGACTGTACGAAACAGTCAGGCATCAAATCTCTTTCTAACATTATGGGGCAACAAAACGGTCCTTTACTATTAGGCGAGTCATTCAGCTTAGAGGATTATGGTCCATAGCACAAATCTCTTGCCTGTAGCTACCTCCTCCAACCATCAACCCCCTTAGGGAGGAAACACAGTGTCAATGCCTAATCCAAAGAAATCCTGACTTGAGCCCTGCCATGCCTGGCAGTATCCCAGTAATTCATGGACATTATCCTTCTTCCTAAAGTCTTTACATGTAAAATTGTATTTTTGATAAAATACATGTCATTGAATAAAATGGTTAATAAAAATTATGAGCATGTTAATAAATGTTTAACAAAACACAGTAAAGGACTTTATTGCTATGAATGTTTAACCACTTCCTTTGTGGTTCAAGCTGCATGTAATGATTTACAAAATACATTCCTTTCTCACCTAGCTATACTCAAAATTTAAAGATCACCAATTTTCGTCTTTTATTTTAGAATAAACCCTGGACGTCTTTCAACTCTTTCTAGAGAATGTTTTTTTTCTCTGATCAGAGTTGAATGTTCACTTCATGGCCAAAACAAGTAACCTTAGCAAATAACCAAACAGTAACAAGGAATCAGAACATGGTGGCATGCCAACAGTTCAACAGACAGCTGGGCTCAATTAAGCCTCCTCATCTTGCTCCACAGCAGGATTTACATTTAACTTGTAATAATGCAAACTACACTCACCACCATGATGCACATGGGCCTTACTGCAGATAACCCTCAACACAATGCTTTGTTAAGATTTTTTATGCTTCCACCTAATGCAGCTCCCAGCAATTACAAATATGTTTTAAAATAACCACACCAACATCCATCCATTCCAGTGAGATGTGTCATGGGAGAAGCTCACATTGTTGTCAGCCAGGCTTGCCCTGGAGACCTCCCCAGGGGACTACTACTACTACTCACACTTTCATAGTAGTTTGACTTTTCCCTGCTGAGCAAATCCGTGTGTGTTTTAGGGATTATCTCATTTAAGTCTTTCAGCAGCTCTGTGAGGTAGGTGAGGTGACCTGCTGAAGGCAATCTCATGAGCTCCATCTCTGAGAAGGATTAGAGTCCTGATCTTTGTAGCCCAGTTCCAATTCTCCATCCACAACCTTATCCTATATGGCATACATACCCCGCTGTTTTACTGCTCATATACTTACATTAGAGAACACATAAGGAATTAAGATGATTGTTGAGGTTAGTAGAAAAAACATGTTATCAGAGTAAATAATCCCAATGATGACAATAGATACCCTTCACTGAATATACATAGCACTCTTCCTCCAAATTCATGTCAGACCTCCAGCTTTAATTCTAATTGTGACTTATTCTGGGATGGAGATCAAATAAAATTATATAAACTGAAGATGCTTGCTAAGCTTCTTATTGATTAATTCTCAAGATCTCATATGTTCAATGTGTTCAGAGCAACATGTATGTTTTCCAAGATGTAGAGGAACCATATTATATTGGCTTAATATGGGCAAGAAAACACTGAGTGAAAAAAACATACTGATTTTAGTGCACTATGATTTTTTTAAAAAAAATACAAAATGTGCTGCAATAAGATTGTACCCTTAAGTCATTAACTTGATCTTTAGTATGTAAAATCCCACAAAAGGGTACAGAATACATAACTCTACAACAATCAAAATTATATGAATGTGAAATTAAGATGTATGCAATAGTATAATATCTGACCATGATATTTGTGGGGAAAGGCAGGGAAGAGTAGCATTTCTCCTACTTTTTAACTATAACAAAGTTTCAAGTACATCACTTAAGACACAAATCAGTCAGCCCCAAGTGGGTGTGGCATCTGCAGCATCCACAGGTGGTGCTTTGGGCAATAAATCTGGGGAACCAGGGCAGAATTCGGAATCACATAAGAAAGAACTAACATTTATTTGAAGCAAATAAAAAATCCTGTGTCTTTGATGGCACTTGATCTTGAGACTGATTCAAAACTAATCTGCAATGAGTGAAAAGGACTGATTGCACAACACTAAAGGAATTTGATAGCGGTAATATTTGCATTTAACTACACATTGTCACAGCCTTAAGATATGACTGGCTGACATCTGTGCTCCATCTGACAGCAGCAGATTGGTATTCTCCCCACACATCCTCTCAACTCCTGTCGTCAGTGTTTGCTGTCCTTTACACACACACACATTGCATTATTTACTCAACTATAAACCTTTCGGCAACATCTATAAGTACCAGCTTCCATATACACACATGCAGCAAACCTGAAACTAGATTCAGCAGTAAGGTACAGCCATCAATAAAGATTGCTTGCCCCTGAAATAACTACAGATCTCCACAGCTTTTTTTGAATGTTGCAGAAAATGTCCCCTAACATTCTCCCTCACATGCTGCATTCACTATTTGTGCCGATTTCTTCATTTGATACACAGTAGTATTCAATGTTAGTTAATCTTAACTTTCCGGTTAACACAACTGTTAAACTGCATTGTAAACTGCAAGTACAGTATGACTGAGGACGAACCTCAACCGTCTTGTGTTAGCGCAAAATGTTTTCCTTCACAAACAGACATTTAGTTGTGTTTTCTTGTTTGTTTTTCAAAGATGCTGTTAATAGCATACATACATGAATTTCAACAGCAACCAGAAAGAGGTAAACCATCTTAGGTCAGAGGAGACCACCTTATACTTTGCCATTTATTAAATGATTCAATATTGCAGATGCCAGCAGCTAATTAGTATGATCAACACAGTGCTGGACACAAACAAGGAGAGACACCCCCTTTTGAGAGGTAAAGGGCTCAGGAAATGGTTATATCTGACCCAGAAATGCCTTTTTAAAAACTCATACTTGAACTAATTCCATGACAAAACTTTGATTTTTTTAAATAATAATGGCACTAAAACTCATGCATGACAAGGCCTATAACCCAATATGCGGCTGAAAATAGCTCTTTACTCTTTTAAGTCAACAACATCTAACTTTCTTTCTTCAAAGCAATAACACATACAACCAATCGTAAGATTAACGAACAGGTGCTGCAAAGTGAAGATGAAAAGGAAACAGACACCTAAACATACATAAACAAATTTTGGAGTAATATACTCACCATTAGCACTGCAAAGTTACCGAAGTGAGTACTATGAAGAGTGGTAGTATTATCTGCAGAGCTAATTATGTGGCACCCTTCTCCCCACCAGTCTCCATGTCCATCTAGAAGGTCAAAATCCCAAAAGACTGCAATGGGGTTTATACCCTGTGTAAAGTGCTTCAATGCTATAGTAAGAGGACTGGCGAGTTTTCCAATACTGCACCCATCTGCAAAAGGAATAAACTGAATTAGAGCACTGAAGTGGAAAATGTTTTATTGCTACATGCTCTGCAAAGAGGTTCTTAATGTTCTGGGCTCTCTCTGCTTCTCTGTGATTCTCTCCTTGACAAACAGCAGCAAAAAGACCTTCTATTACCATAGAAGCCATCTGCAAAAGTTTGGAACACTTAATATTGCCCCTAATTGCCATTTCCCTCAATTGGATGAGATGCTGCTCATTAGTAAAACCAGATTTAACACATAAATGCTGTGCATTAAAATGATGATAAATCATTGCTGCAAGTAAAAGCATTTGTTTAAAAGGGGAAAAATCAATTTGTTCAACATGGGTAAGGTGGCTAAGGCAATTTCTCAGTATGAAATGCAAATTAAAAGCTCCTAAAATTTGAACACAATTCAGGATCAAATAAAATGTTTAAACTTGCATGTACTGAATATTTAATCAAAAGGAAATCTTTAACCTATTACTTTCACCCTTAAAGGGACCTGTTTTAGGTCTATCATAGCCAGAGTTACATTGATGACTCCGAATATGCATGCAACAGGGCTCCTTCCACTATCAATCTGACACTGAACATTCAGGATTTGTTATTTCAATGGCTATGATCAAGATTTAAAAAGCAATATTCTTCCTCTTCTCCACATGCCACCTTAACTTTGCTTATAAACTTCAATAAGCTATCTAAAGAGAGGAGAGGAGAATCATTTGCTTACAGCTACAAGGCTTTATGGCTACGCACATTTATTTGAATAAACAGACAGGTAGGAATAAACCCACACATTAGTGTTAAAGCAGAGGCAATCCTCACATCAGCATACCTGCATACCCACTGCACCATTATTTTATGTGCCTTAATGTACAGCTGAGCTTTCCGATCGAAGCAGCTGTGGCTAACACTTACCTATTTTAATGAAGATAACTGGTGTGCCAACAGTCCGGTGCTTCCCGTAATCTGCAAGGTGAGACGAGTTTGCAGTGCTTGGGAAGAGTTTTCCATTCCGAAAGGCAATAAACTGGAGCTTGCAAGAGGAGTTATCAACAGATTGCCAGGCTGAAGACGAAGAGAAGACAGACCGTGGCAAATGTACTGAAGCTACTGCCACAGCATTCTGTACAATGAGAGGAAAAAAAGAAAATTTAAAATGCAAATCACAACAGGGTTGCTTTCATTACGTCTTAAACTCCTGTACAAGAAATGTACGCTGCCTCTCTTTTCTACCATACTCAAAGCAACCAAATGAGCAGGAGCTGTAACCATGGGAATAGGATTGGTACAGTGCATATTAAAACAGAAAACGTTTTGATTGAATGTGCGAGGCTGTATGGTCAAGCTCCCTGCTGCAGAGGTGAGAATGGTTCTTACCATGCCTGCTAGAGGGTCCATCAACACTGCAGATCTGATTTAAAGAGACAACCTCGACCAGGTTTTCTCCTTCACTTAAAACAGGATCAGACAACTTACATTAAAACATATCTCTCTGAAAGGGTAATTAGATGGGACTGAAATGCATTTTATTAATACAAAGAATTGCATCAGGAGATGACTCTGAACAGGGAGGTAGGCAATGCAGTCAGTTTTGTATTCCTTCTGAGACCATGATTTCATCCTTAAAGAAAATCGTTCCTCTCACTGTTGCCGGAAACGTGAATTATATATGTTTAACAAAAAAATATGCTAGAGGAAAAGGGGAATATTTCAAGGCTGTCAGGATAGGACAGAGCTGTGATTAGGTGATGCATTTTCAGATTCCTAGAGAAAACTACACACATGTATACCATTAAATTATTAAGATGGTTTTCTTTCACCTACTTAACTCCTCTTTCCCTTATACGAGTGGTGACCTTGTCAGAATTAAGCCCAGAGGCATGCATGAAGTAGGGGTGAGGGGAGGGCGGAAGAAGCAAAACAAAAAGCAGAGCAGAGACAAAATGAGAGATTGCCCTGAGATTTATGAACTCTTCTATTAAAAGATAACTGCAGCAGGAAGACAGAACAGTTTTTATTTGCCCAGCAGCAAGATACAGCTTCTGTAGCACATCATTAATGTAGATCATCCCACAGTTATGTGTATAGAAAGCTTCTTTGGAAACACAACAAAAGCGAGCCTCCGTGTCATGTGAACATGCATGATGTTACACTGTTTATCCTCATCTGTGTTTGGTTGATATGTAACTAAAAAGTAAGCACAGAAAAAAGCTAAGCACCGTACTTAAAAATGGAGATGTAATTACCATGATGATAATGAGATGACAAACGAAACCTTGAGTTACTGTGCGAGGTACAATTCAGGGGACATTTATGTTAACTGAACATTCCCCCTCTTGGAAACAAAAGGGGTCAGCAGCTCCACTGATTTAATGTGTAGAATACTCTAGGCTCAAGTTGCACTTTTAAAGAACAGTAATATATCATTTAATATATTTCATTATGCTTTAGTCACCTTCCTGGTGGCTTATTTTGTCATAGACTCATAGTTTATACAACCCATGAATGAAACTGAGAACTGATTGTTAAGAGGAGGTAAATGTACTTATGCATCTCATGTAAAAGATGGGAAAGGGTTGCAGTCAAAACACACTACATTGTCCATACAGCAGCACTGCTGAGCAATCAACTTATCCCGTGATTACATGCCTACCCAGGGAAAGCTGGCATGTTATAAACACTTGGCATTGCTGTTCACCCCAAAGTAATGGGATGTAGGGATCATCTACACTCAGAGAGATCTCTAAAGGTTCCCAAAAAGGGCTTCATAGAAATTGCAGCAGAAGTGTTAACAGATCAGAGATTGTATGTGATTAAACTGTTTCAACCAGCAATGGCAAGTAAGACTGTGTTGTTGTTGTTGTTTAGTCGTGTCCGACTCTTTGTGACTCCATGGACCAGAGCACGCCAGGCCCTCCTGTCTTCCACTTCCTCCCGG